AATAAGTAACATTCTCATTAGAGTATTCTCTCTAATGATTCTAATAGAATCAGTTAGATGAGTATCTGCTCATAGCTTATCAAATTTCTTAACCTCTTCCTTCAGATTTTATATGAGTCACGTAGTTAATAGAAAATGATGATATATTTAAATTAATTTATATCGGTTACAAAAGAATTTTTAAAATTTATTTCTTTTAATGTTATCTATCGAAACTCGTATTCCGATAAAAGTCTTTTATTAATTTTCAATTTTTTGTTAATTAAAACAAACTCTAACCTACAAAACTATCAAAGTCTGCTAATTTTATTTTATTTCTTATCATTTCGATAAGCGATTTTTGAAACAGCTTGGGTTTGCACACCCATTACAATAAATTACTATCAACTTAAATAATAAATACCAAAAGAAACAATATAAGCAGAGGTGTGAAGTGTCAACTTATAAGCTTTAACTATATTTCAAATTATTTGAAGTAAAAAATACCAACATTTGATATATAATATAATGATGAAGTCTAATACCAACTAATAAGTATTGCTTGGATTATTATTTGAAATAAATTAAAATTAAAAACGAATTTTTATAAAACTCATTAAAAATATATAGTATCTCAAGACATTTTCAAAAGAACATTAGATAAAGTGGTGATCAAGAATAAATAAATTGATAAATTGGTGATTGTCTTTCCAAAACCCACTTATTGACACTCTACTAAACAGTGACTTTGTAATTTTTGTTTAGATTCAATCTTGTTAAAAATAATACTATAACTATTCTATTCTATTCAATCTATAGTGAATTTCAAAAGACTGTGACGCTATAAAAAAATATAATGTAAAACCGATCTGCATTATTACACAATTTTGTTCTGAATTCAATTTACCACAAATCTCTAACTTATATTGTGTATCCTATATCTTTTCCACATACACCACTTACACTTCTTACGCTCATACTTTCAGAAAAAATAGTGATCAATGATAAAAAGTCTACCACGCAGTATTAAAAACAAGGTATTCTTCTTCAAGTACGAGGCAAATGTACAACGGATACCAATATGTAGATTTATGAAATCGTTCGCACCAATCGGTTTTAGTACGATCAAAGTCCAGTTACGTGCCATTAGCTTCAGATACAGAAGTCACACACTTCCCTTGTTTCTAAGCATCTTATACTACTCTACTCTAAGCTTTGATATATAGCTTTTAACAGCTTATATTGTGTAATTGGGTATATTTGAGTATATCTTTCTTGAAATATCGATATAATACCACTCCCGTCAGAAGTTTAAAATAAGCTAGGATGACAGAGTAAGCAAAAAGTTAATAAAAATAATCGGTTTCTAATATCGATTACAACTACAAGCAGTTGATACAAAGCAGTTGATAGGTAAACGATATTAACTATCATAAGACCAGTTAAAAGACTACATGTTCGGATTGACACTAATAGAACCTACAATTGATTGAGTCTATTTAAACAGATATTTATGATAAAATTAAATTACTTCCATATTATGACATATTCTTTACTTAGGGTCTTTACCTTTTAACAGAGAAATACATGTACATAGATATATCTAAATCTATTTTTATTTCAAACTATATTCGAATATTAATGATTGATATGTTCATAATTGTATTCCAAAGCATTCAATTGTTTTGGTAAACTTAATACACTCTTATGGTAGACAGTATATAGACGTGTCCTGAAATATATGGAGTATAGAGCACGTTTATGTATTTCACTTTTTACATATTTGACTTAAAATATAAAAAAAATAAATTATCTAAAAAAACTAATAAAATTTTCTTAACACTTTTAAATTAGGTTGAAGGTCTCGCATATATCGCTCTTGCTATAGAGGGTATGCTCTTTTATGGATGTAACGATCAAACTCACGATATTGCCAGTGAGCCTTTTAAATTTGTGACGCAATTATTATACTTCATAAGTAAGCATATAATATATATATATTCTCAAAAAATTTATAGACATTAAATGAAAAAATAATTCAATCACAGATCAAGATTGTGGTAATCCATCTATCTCAATAAATGGAGAGGTATCAATCGATATTGGCATTGATTGGGCAAAATCAGAAGAAATTACTAACAGAACAAATATATTTGCCATAACATATTCCGCTGTAAGCTTAGCATGGGTTATTACTTCACTGGTTGTATTATGTACGTTTAAAAGCATTAAAAATTTTGTTTATATTTAATAATATTTTTTTACAATTAAATAGTTACAATTTGTTGCCGTACTACAAAAATACTTACGGTTTTCGTCTTTTGGCCATGGTTTTTAGTTATAATAGCTGGAAGCATACTGGATGCTGTAGCAACTGGTTATCATATTGTTGATATAGTGCACACAACAGTAAGACTTTTTGTGAAAAAAAGTTAAATTTTTTATTTATCTTGTATAATTACTTTCAGTCAGCCGATGAGACTTTCGACTATATAGGCATCTCTGCACCAGAAATAGTTATGAACCAGTTAAGGGCATACGATGTTTACTTCATTACACCAGCTATTGTTATGACATGTATAAGCTCTAGAGTGGTAATCATATGGTTTTTGAATATTTTTGGTGCTTGCTTCTGTCTTTCGCTCTCAAGAGTATTGGCACAAGATGTAAGTTAATACATTTCTATTCTATTTAACTTTTCATAATCCAATTTTGAAAATAATTGCACAGAATGCAGCACAACGTAGAAAACATGTTGCTTCTGCACCAACAACAGCAACTGCAGGAAACGAACCGCCAAGAGCTGAAATTACAATTACTGAACAAGTAATTGTACCTCATTCACAAATGCAGCATCAACCACAAATTCAGACTCAACCACAAATTCAGAGTCAACCACAAATTCAGCCTCAACCACAAATTCAACTAACTGCACAGCAAATGCAACAGCCTCAACAATTCCAGCAAACACAATATCCTCAAAATTTAAGGCTGAATGTACAAGAACGCACACCAGAATATAAAATTGCGCCTATAGCTGTTTATCCTCCAAGTGCACCATCACCAGATATGCGCCAAGCTGAACCGCAAGCTAACATTGTAAATAATAATACCACATATCGGCAGACAACTAGTCATCCAGATGTACTCGATTATCCGCCCCAACCATTAGCAGATCACCGTGCATCGCCAGTGGAATTATCACCAACATCGCCGTTAAACGATAGATACTCTCAGCCGCCTTCTTTTTCAAATAAAAGCCAACCACAACGTGTAAGCGCGGAATTAAGAAGTCAGCTACCATGGTCATATACTAACATGGCAGCTAAACCACAACCACCTCGTAAACCACCAACAATACCAGAGCCTGATTATATATTAGAGGAGTCTGGCAATATTAATCAACAAACACCGCAGCAATTATACCCAAAACTATAAAAATAAAATATAATATATAATAAATGTTAGTTGTTAAACTTAAAAAGTTGTTTTTTATATTACTAAAACATTCACACAGCATAGAAAACTACACTCTGTGAATACTTCTCTAAAAATTTATTTACAATTTTATATATTACATGTGAAATTGTACGCAATTTCGTTTCCAGTTAGAAAAAAAAAATATATTGAAATTTAAGTTGTAAATTATGTATGAAATTATAAAGGCAGAATTAATTATTTTATTACGTTTTAGCGCTACAAATCTGACAAGCAAAATAAATAGTCAATTTCAGCATTTATAATGCAGTCTATAACAGATAACATTGCAAATCTTTAAAGTATAATAAATTATAATATTAATTACATTTTAAAAACAACTAATTCTCCAACATTTCTTTTTTAATTATGTTACTTTCGACTTTTAAAATATCGGAATTACTTTGGATCAGTGGGTAATTTAAAGCCAACCATATCTGCTGTTTCTTTAACGCTTCTCTCACCACGTCCATGATACTCCTTATGTAGTTCATTATATTTACGTATGCTAGCCAGATAAGTCAGATATGTTCTACCCAAGAATAATGCTTCATCCTTTGCTTTACATAATTGTTGATCCGTGGTACGGAATAGTTGGTATTGAGCCAATATGTAACGCACTGCCAAGGAATGTTTTATGCCACCACTTGGCAATGAATGGCGTAATTGATCCAGCAATGCACGCATGGTTTTTGTAGCCGACATTTTTTAAACAGATAAATATAATTTTTACTGAACGAATTACGCAAATTTAAACTTGCTACAAACTTAAGTCTGTAAAGAATTGACAAGATGCGGTGAAATGTCAAATAATATGAATTTTCCACTGAGAGGTGTGTTCAATATAAGACAATGTGCAAATAATTTATATTAGGTCTGTTCGAGTGCGTTATTGTGATACAAATTGACATATTTCGTTTCAACTCAGCAAAGTACAACTATTACATAAAAGTTTTTCGAATTTCATATATACATCTTGGACATTAGTGTGGTAAAGCTTTATCCATCATACCAGCGCAATTGTAACTTTTTTATTGTTATTTTCCTACATTTTTGAACATAAAATAATCAAATACTAAATAAGCTTCTATGACGGATCAATTTCAAACCATTTCCGAAAAATTATTTAAAAAAAATATTAAAATATAGCTCTAGATGAAATTCAAGAACATAACACATAAATTTTTAAAGCGTGACACGTTGTTGATGTTCTGAAAGAGCCGCATTTATAATTTTATTAATTTTCACATTCGAACAGATCTGTGCTGTGATAATCTGTGATACTTGTGATAATCTGTGATCTCTGATAATTGTGCTGTTAATTGCTGAATGTAGTTTCTTTTTCAATTTTATTTCGATAAGCGTGAAAATCATTTTTCCCATATTATGCTAACAATTTTTCTAAATACTTATTAATTAGCTTTTAACACAAAAGTAAAACTGTTATGTATAAAAATACTCACAACACAATGGATGAGTAGATGTAAGTGAAATATATAGAAATATATATGTAGGTCCAGAGGTGAGGATAGTTTAAATGGCAACTTTTCTATGAACAGCTTATTAATACTATGGAAATTAAAACAAGTCACTCAGTTATTTTAATTAATAAAAAAATTAAAGTCACTCAGTTTTATGATAATTAATATCGTTTACCTATCATAAATTCATACATTTTGTTTTGTGTATGCAATGACGATACTGAATTAACTAGAGTTTTGTTTTATGGAAAACATTTATTATTTAGTATGGTTAAAATTAATGTTTGCAAAACATACCTTGAGCTAAAAAAATTATCGTTTTACTTTTATTCCACATAAATAATAAAAATTTCTATACCAAATTATTTTATGGCTTTAACTTATTAGTACCAGAAAATATTTGTGTACACCATGCCGTTAACAAATTTATTTATGTTTGATTAAAAACTAATATGTGCATTCAAAAATGTAGTGCATAGAAATTGACAAGCAGCTGTTAAGTAAAAAAAGTTTTTAAAAATACAATATAAAAAGTTTTTTAACATCTTACACTTGAGCTTTATAATAAACTACAAAATGATTTTCGGTAAACGTTTAAAATATTTATCGAAAGTTGGAATTACTTTCCACAATTACAAAGGACAATTGCCACCAGTAAAACGTTTTGCTTCAAATGTTCCTGTGGAGAAACGAACTTTAGAAGTAAATGGACAAGAATATATAACAGATCATATGACTAATGTTACACCAAAAATACTGTCGTACTTGGGAATGAATAAACATCTACAGAAGCATCATCCCATTTCAATCGTCAAACAACGAATAGTTAATTATTTCTACAGAGCCTACCGCAACTCACGTGGGAATCCTTTATTTTCCGTGTATGACAAACAAAATCCTGTAGTGACAATACAACAGAATTTTGACAATCTGCTTATACCTCCCGATCATGTAAGTCGCTCTAAATCAGATTGTTATTACATTAATAGTAATTATTTACTACGAGCACATACAACCGCTCATCAAGTGGACTTGATATCCAGTGGGTTAGATAATTTTCTTGTTTGCGGCGAAGTTTACAGACGAGATGAAATTGATAGCACTCACTTTCCGGTATTTCATCAACTTGATGCGGTGCGTTTATTAACTAAAGAAAGATTATTTGAACGCAATGCCGACTTAGACATTTTCGAAAATTCTGCAAACACAAATAAACAAGTTTTTTATCCATTAACAAAATGTATAGATCAGACAAAACAAGCTTGCCACAGCTTGGAGGCAGTCAAATTGATGGAATATGAAATGAAACAAGTACTGCAGGGACTAGCAATGGATTTGTTTGGTAAAGATGTGGAATATCGTTGGGTTGACACTTTTTTTCCTTTCACACAACCATCGTGGGAGCTAGAAATATTTCATAAAGGTAATTGGTTAGAAGTTTTAGGAAGTGGCATAATGCGGAATGAAATCGTGCAACATGCTGGTGCCAAAAATTCAATCGGTTATGCCTTCGGCGTAGGTTTGGAACGTTTAGCAATGGTTTTATTCGATATACCTGACATACGTTTATTTTGGTCGACTGACAGTGGTTTTCTAAATCAGTTTAATGAAGAAAATTTGGTAGATATACCAAAATATAAGTCCATATCAACATATCCGCAATGCAGGAATGATTTGTCGTTTTGGTTACCACTTGTCGAAGACACAAAAACAGAAACAGATTTTGTAGCAAATGATTTTTATGATCTGGTTCGTACTGTCGCCGGTGATGTAGTAGAACAGGTAAATATTCTTTAAAATAATGCAAGCACTTAATATTGAACAAAATTTCTATTACAGATAAGCCTTGTAGACAAATTTAAACATCCCAAAACAGGTAGATCAAGTCTATGTTTTAGGATCACTTACAGGCATATGGAACGAACGCTTACCCAAGCTGAAGTAAATGAAATACACAAACTCATTGCCAATGAATGTGTAAAAAACTTTAATGTGGAAATTCGTTAATAATTTGTTTTTAATTGTTGAGAAGAAATAAAACACTTATTTTACAAAAATAATACGCGCTATTTGTAATTTATTAATATAAAAGGTGCATTAGTAAGTAAAACTAAACGATATGTAACTTAATTATTATTATAAAATCAAATATTTTATGATGAAGTTGCGTGGTATTGACATTCATTAGTAGCCTGGCGGGGTATTCCTCTGTTAAAGTTGCGCTGTAAATTAAGATAACTCTCACAGGATTCCAAATGCTGATCCATATTACCTTCTGGTATATAATGTTGTGCATTGTATAAACACCTCTCTAAATACGGTCCTCTGTATTTTGACTTGCATTGGAATATGTGTTTAGCCATTCTATGACTTTGAACCCGATGTTGAGGAAAGAATGGACAGGATTCAAATGTATTTGACATATTAAAAAATCTTCAAATAACACGCAATTTAAAAAAGTAAAGTTTTTCCGGCAAACAATCACTTTCGCGTCAGTTAAAACAAAAACACCTTGCACTTCACAGCTACAAGTTTAACTTCGTACTGTCAAAATAATGCTAATTCACAATGCAAAATTACCTGTGACGAGTTGTTGAATAATTTTCTGAGAATAAAGGAATTGAGAAAAAAGGAGTCGAACAAAAAACATATGGACTTCTGTAGCTGAAGTACTTGGTTTTTTCAGTTTAGTTGCAGCGATTTGTATTGGCAATTTTCGCTTCAACAAATACAAAATTTCGTCGATCAAAAGGAAATATGAAATAAAGATAATGAATACATAAAATAATGAAAAAAATAAGGGGTACAAAAAAAATTTAAAAAAAACATATAAACAAAAGGAAATATAAAATAGAGATAATGAATACATAACATAATGAGAAAAATAAGGACTACCAAAAAAATTATTTAATAAAAACAAATAAACAAAAAGAAATATGAAATAAAGATAATGAATACATAACATAATGAGAAAAATAAGGGCTACCAAAAAAATTATTTAATAAAAACAAAAGGAAATGTATGTATAACAAAAAAAAAAAACTTTTATTAGACTCTTTTAAATTCCATTTTATGTTAAATTTTGTTTATTTATTAAGACGGTAGCACAAAACTAATTTGTTTTCATATGCATATTATTTTTAAAAATATTAAATAAAATTTTAATACTTTTAAAAATAAATTAAATATAACGTGTGAAAAAATCAATTAAAAATTTTTTAATAAATGTGATATTTGGAATTTTTATTAAATATTTAACTTCACTTCACTTTAATACATTGCATTAAGCATGATATAGACAATGCTACGTATATGTAGACCAAGTATAGTGTGCAGACATGTAGCATCGACTATATCTGGGCTGCCTAAAGTACGGCCCGCGGCTAATGTTTATGCGGTCCGCATCATGTTTTTAATCTACTACAATTACACAAATTTTCTTTAGCTGTAAAGGTAAAACCACATTATTTTACTATTATGGAATACTACATGAATGAGTTTAATTTGATAAATTAATAAAACTAAATTTAACATTATAACCGTATTTATAATGTTATAATGAATTTATAATAACAACTATGAATATATGTATTTATTTCTTCGGCCCTTTAATCTGTACAATAATTTTTATTGGCCCGCGATCGCATCTGGTCTGGGTAGCTTTGGTCTATGTCATGCTTTATAAACATATATAACAAAGTGATATTCAAAAAAGTTTTTTAAGGGCCCCTAATAATCCTTAAACATTCATATGTAAATATAAAAATAATATTTAACAAGTAAATATACATATAACTTAGTAATCTACTACAAAAAAACAAAAATAAAAAAATGTATATCAAAAATTTTTACATATATTTTTAGTAAAAGAATATTAACAAAAATTTAATTCTGTGAATTTACAATTGCTTTCCACCATTGTGAATAGTTAGAAATTTCACACATTTGACATTTTAGCTATTCTTATATTCCACCATTCGCTCAAGGTACGTACATGTTTCATAAATTCAGAAAGGTTACACAACTATAAGAATTTTAATTTGAAATTTTTTAATATAAAATTTTTAATAGCAGTGCAGCAAAAGAAGGAAAAATGGCAGATAAAGCAGTTGCAGAGAAACCCGCTGGTCGCCCAATGAAATATCCATACACATTTTCTGCTAAAATCGCTCAATTTCCCTTGAAGTACTACCTTAAGAACCAATGGATCTGGCGTTACTACTTTATTGCTATTGGAGTTAGCATTCCTGTTTTCTATAAAATCAGCAAACTCTGTAATGCACTTTTAATGATATTTATGTGATTTAATAAATGAAAAAAATTTTTTTTTCAGCTAACTCACCTGAAAACAAAGCTGCTTGGGCTGCGGCTCAGGCTAAAGAGGCTGCTGAGCATCACCATTAAATTATTTATTTAGTATGATGTTTTTTATTTTGCTGCCGGAGACGTTAGTCATAATTATAAATTGTATTTTTCAAATAACTAAATTGATGTAGTTCGATTTCAGTGAAAGCCTATGACACCAGGCAAATTAATAAAATAAATTACAAAACTCAATTTTTTTATTACCCATCGCCAATATTTAAAAGCTTAAGTCACTGAAAGGGTGTTTTATCCTTTTCCCCTTCGTACTATTAAACATTTCTTATTAATGTGTTCTAATATCTGTTTTTATGGTTATGATGTTAAAATACATCACTCAGATTGCCCTATAATAGCAATTTTCAAGAAAATTTCTTAGTTCAGGTTTGCGTTCTTAAATCGGAGGTAATCTCCTTTCTTTTATATTAAAATAAAGACAAAAGTTTAAAATTTATGATGATGGCAGATTAATAAGTTAACTATTAGTGTCACTGATTTGTACTGAGAGACATCACATGGGTGATGCATAAAGAGTACGTCTACGATGGGATATACATTGAGAATAGTTGAATTCATTATAATAATTGAATATGTTGCAATGTGAACAGATTCTCAAAGATGATATATTATCAATATGAAAAGCGATAAATAATTGCCGATACTTAAACGCTGCGTACGTCGCAAAAACCGCTGTTGTACTTGTGGAAGAGAAAAATGGGAACGAAAATAACTAGACGGGTTTACCACAATGGGTCATCATATGAGCTCAAGTGGGCTTTTTGGAAACAAGGTAACCTCAAGAGGGAGAGGGTGATCCCTACTAATTGTGTTGTGATCTCTATATCCATTTATATGGCTAGTGAGGAGAATTTATTAAAACAGCTAACTATATATGCTTTTGAGTAATGTGCATTCCGAACTTCCAATGAAGAAGGTTAACGTACAGCATTTAAATGTGTTTTGCTAAACATCGCAAAATTTTCAATGTGATAATAACGTTATTGCTTAGTCTGATACAATGATAAACAATAATCGAGTTGAGGCGTAGGGGTGTTATGAAGAAACCTCGCAGTTAGAAGAGAATAAAAGTGCTCGAATGCACTGACTTAACTAATGTCAACTAATAATAAAATATAATTTTTAATAATTTTAATATAATTTTTAATAAATTATTTTAAAATTTTTTTATATTTTACTTTTGTTGTTCAATAATATTTCCGGCGTAATGTAGACATTTAATTTAATTGCATAGAAATCTCTAATTAAGATTCGATTCTTATTGTTTATATACATAGTTTAAAAATTTATTATTGTAGAATTTATCCTATAAGACACAAGTCCTATAATTTATTATTCAATTTTAATCGAAATATTCTATAAATCATACCTGCAGTAGAAAATTGGTGTAGCTTATCACCCTCTTCACTTTAGATATTACTTTAAGGCTCTTGAAATTGATTTTAAACTTATTTAATTTTAAAAAACTTTTAAAATTTCCCAGTTATAAATGGTGTTTGGAACATGTAATTTATAAGATTCGATTTATAGACAAAAAACATATGATTTCATTCATTTGGGGCAATATTTTCGTAATTAATTTTATTTCATTTTTACGAAATTAAGGAAATTAGACTGTCTGAACATAGTATTAAGTATGCCTCAAACATGAGATAGATTACATGATTGTTGGTGTAAACTGTCTAAATGAAATTTAGTATTAAAAAAACCGCACTGGCAACACTATTTGTCATTTTGTGACGCACTTGAGTTTGGATACATTTTATTGATTAAATAATTTTGCCGGTGTGTAGTGCGTTTTTACCGTTTAGGGAAGTTGTAAAATATTATACACATTAAACTTTAACAAATAATTTTGTTTAATGAACGCGTATCTGCAAATTGGAAAATTGTAAATATTAATTTATTTTACTAAGTGAAAGTATTTCTGTCTGAAGCGGCGTGTTTGGAACTCTGAAGTCTGAAGTTTGGTGAATTGAACGTAAACGTGCGTAAGAAGCTTGTGTCCTTTGAGATGCTTGTGTAAAGAATGTCCTTTTAATTGTTAAATAATCGATATTTTTATATAGAAAGTTTATATTCTATTTAATTAGTAGTTGTTGTACCTATAAGTAAAATAGATTCAATTATAATCATTTATTTTGAAGTAATTTTAGGTCTTAAGTAAAGTTAGATAATTTTGTTTCATTTTTTGATTAGTATTTAATAGAATTGTGCAATCAATTACATTGAAATATTTGAATTTAAAATATAGTATAGAAAATGATTTAAATTAATCAAAATTTTGATAAGATTATTTGTGACCCGAGTGTACACACGCAAAATCGCATATCAGTTTGAGTCAAAACAGGTCAATAAAACCAGTGTTTTTTTTTTGAAAAGAATAATTATCTTTTCACTGGGAGGAAAGTGACTAGATAAATATTGGATAATAACACTGATATAAAGTGTTTTAAGTTATATAGTGCATATTGCATTTATAGTGTAGCTACTTATCAAAGGCTTCATATTATATATTTAATATAATGTGCTTTAGACATCTATCAACTTCTGATATACTCTTTAGCTCCGATATAAACTATAGGATATAAACAATGCAATGGTTCTTATTTTTTAACGCCATTAATTTGACAAAGTTTGCTATTCGAAATTATTTCTTCGGCTACGCCATATGTTGATATGGCGAGATATCCCGAGATATCGGGTTTTGCAAAAGTGCTGTTTAGTTTTCGTTAACCATCTTTTGTATTATCAATATAAAAATTGGATGTACACTGACTTTGTAAGAAGTCTACAACTCGATAGCCTGATATCGCGAAAAAGTTGCTAGAGTTCCAAGAACGGCAAGTACAGTTCAAAACCTCCCAAAGAGACTTCACAAGCAGGTCCCAGTGAGTTACAACAACACACTGTTGTTGTGATGTGAAGAGTGTCTCCGAATGGCAAACTTTGAAAAATCTGTGTTCAAATTGTAAAACCTTTAAAACCGTAATTGTGCTATAGTTTTTCGAAATTGCAGCAGTCATCAACATATCTATAGTCAATAGATAAATTAGTCTATTTTGAACTTCCACACAGATGCAATTTCCGTTTCAAGACTACGGTTGCACTGCAACAAAATTGTCAATCGGCCCACGCGTAATATATCCTAGATAGAACGATTTCTTTTATGTGCAGCAATAACTCTCCTAGCTCAATTAAGATCAGGATATAACAAACAATAATTTGTTGCGCATAAATGCAACAATTTGCAATGTGTGTTCCAACGGGAAGGCAAACCTGAATCTAATTGAAATTTAAAGGCTTGAAGAGGTGCGCCTAGAAGTGACTAGCTTCTCAGTTTTGATTCTAGTTTACTTTCATTTAAAATATGTTCATATCCCAATTCACTACCGAATAATCGTCTTCCCTCTTGCACAAGCATTACCCAACCACTATTTAATCCATGCATTCGCAAAGTGATTCCTTTCATGTTCTCAGATTTACAGCTACCTGCGGCTTACAACAACAAACACAACATAAACGACGTAGCATATAAGTTAAATTTTAGATTAATATTCTCTATTGTAGAATGTCTTTTTTTAGGGACTAAAAGGATTGCTATCAAAAGTAAGAATCTGCCGAATAAAAAAAAACCGCCAAAATTTCGAGGTATTATATATTTCCAATTAGTTAAAAATTCGTGAAGTGGTCAGTGGTCTTCTTGTTAAATTCATCGGACTACTTGAATTATTTCGGTTGTGATGCCATTTATTCTGTTGTATGTTTTGTTGTCCTTGTTACGTTTCCAGACAATATAATGGATGTTTTTGTTGTATTTCTGCTCGCTAAGTGTGTGATGACTCCAGAGCAAGTAAATGAACAACTAAAAGTTCATCATACTTTCTTATTCAGAAACTATCTATACTTAATATAAAAATAATAAATAAAATATTTTGATATATATATATAAAGAAGGTATGTTCTCAGTACATATGGGTTAAAAAACCAGCTTGTCAATGGGTGATATGTTGTCAGTTTTATTCTTTATAATAAAATTATTTAAGATACAATATGTGTTATAATATTGATGAGATTTATTATATTTTAAATAGATTTATATATAATATACTTAGTTAAAAAATTAAATTTCTCACTAAAGTAGTATGTATTAATGGTGTGGATTCATTTGAATCTTCCAACGTTGTATATTGTGTATAAATTGAGTATGGTTTCTTATTGAATGGTTAACCCATATGTTTTATGAAGAAAAATGAATTATGAAGTTGATTATAATTGAAGAGTAATTATTTTTTGTTCTAGAGTTCTAATATGAAAAAGAAATGTTTATTGTCTGTATATTATAAAATCAGTATAATTGTATGTAAATAGTGCTTGTATGTTCTTAGGTGTTATAATTACAATAAAAATAAAAAAAACACAAAACCCTATTAAATTATATATTAATCTAAACTTTCTTATCTGCAAAAGTTTTGAATACTTTCACACTCAACCATGGATTATGTACAAGTGGCTGAAAACGAAGAAGAAGCTGAAATAGAGTTACCTACTGAAGAAGATGGCACTCTATTGTTGTCAACATTACAAGCTCAATTCTCTGGTGCAACCGGTCTTAAATATCGCAATCCAGAAACCAACGCTATGCGTGGTGTACGTTGTAACGAAGGAAGACTTTTTCCGCCATACAATGAAAGTGGTTGGGGTGACGATATATACTTATGCGTGTTCTCAGCAGGTAAGAAATTTTTACTATACTTCATTCAAAACTAATTAATATTATTTTACTTATTATTATCTAGAAAACAAACGCAAGAATGATGATAATTTAAATAATTCGGCATCAAAAACAAAGCGTGTAAAAACAGCACAATGCACTGATTTAATTGTTTTGGACTTGCCATGGAAATCGACTGAAGATGACTTACGCGAATATTTTGAAACATTTGGTGAATTAGAAATGGCACAAATAAAAACAGATGCTAAAAGTGGTAAATCAAAAGGATTTGGTTTTATTAAATTTCAATCATATGAAGTACAAATGCGTGTTTTGTCTTCCAAACATCAGATTGGTGGTCGCTGGTGTGAAGTAAAAATACCAAACTCTAAAGTAATTATTTATTTTCATCTTGTAATAAAATAAATTCATTTTAAAATATTTTTCTTTTATTAGGGTGCAATGCAGCAATTACTTAATAATAGAGTGTTTGTTGGTCGTTGCACTGAAGATATCACTACTGAAGACTTACGAAAATATTTTTCTAAGTTTGGAGAAGTGACTGATGCTTACATACCAAAACCATTTCGTAAATACGGCTTTGTTACCTTTCTATTTCCGGATGTTGCACAATCAGTATGTGGAGAAGATCATGAAATAAAAGGTTAAATATTATAAAACATTATAAATAAATTTTTGAATATATCTTAATTATTTTACAGGCGTTACCGTTCATGTTTCTACCGCTGCTCCAAAAACTGAAAATAACCGTAAGAACAATGAATAAACATTCTTATTATGTTTACGATTTTATTAATACATATATAATTGACAGGTGGCTCAGGAAGAGATAGAAATAATTATGGAGGAGGCTATAATAATGGAAATAGTTTTAATAACAGAAACGGTTATAATAATCGCAATAATTCCAATAATCGCAATAATTCTTCATTTAGTCGTGGTAGCAAGTCAAATTATAATGATAATGCCGTTTGGGACAACAAATCCAATGGCAATGCTGCCAATAATGGCATTTGGGACAGCAAGTCATATAATAATCAAGGTTCCCATCATCCAAATCAAGGACAAAATCAATCAGGAGGAGGTGAGAATTTAAATTCATTAGCTATGAATCCTGCTGTTGTGGCTGCTGCGTTAAATCTTTTGGGCAATCAATTGCGTACCATGTCATAAGATCTACAGGTATAAAATGGTTTCCTTAAATGTTTTAATTATATTACACAATATATTATATTGAACAATATATTATATTGAACAATATATTATATTGAACAATATATTATATTGAACAATATATTATATTGAACAATATATTATATTGAACAATATATTATATTGAACAATATATTATATTGAACAATATATCATATTATAAAATATATTATACAATATATTATATTATACAATATATTATATTATACAATGTTTTATATTATACAATATATTATATTTCGAACAATATATATATTGAACAATATATATATTGAACAAATATTATATTCGAGACAATTATTATATTTGAACAATATATAATTGAACAATATTATTAGGAGACAATATATTATATTGAACAATATACTTATATTGAACAATCATATTATTATTGAACCAAATATAATACTTGAACAATATATATATTGAACAATATATTATATTGAACAATAATATTATATTGAACAATAATTATATTGAACAATAATATTATATGAACAATATATTAAATTGAACAATAAATTATATTGTAACAATTATATATTGACAAATATATATTGAACAATATATATATTGACACAATATATATATTGAAAATATAATTATATTGAACAATATATTATACTGAACAATAATATTATATCTGAACAATATATTTATTATGTGATCAATATTATCATTGAACAAATATATTATATTGAACAATATATTATATTGAACAATATATTATATTGAACAATATATTATATTGAACAATATATCATATTATAAAATATATTATACAATATATTATATTATACAATATATTATATTATACAATGTTTTATATTATACAATATATTATATTTTACGATGTATTATATTACATATATATAATAATATATGTAATACAATATATATACCTATTTTTTTTTAAATATAAAAATAGACATATATTAATTGAATAATTTCTTTTTAAGATTGTACTTTTTTTTGATTTGGATGGTGCACACTAATGGACAAGATCATCACGACTTCTTAGTATATAAAAACCCTTGTACATATTTGCGATAATTTAAATAATAATATAATATAAAGTTAAAGGATTGTACGTATGCAGCATCAAAGTTAAAAAAAATATCAACTGATTTTTTAGTTCAAAGCCTATGTACATAATTTGAGATTATGTAAAATCGATTTAAGTCTTTTAAAACATTAAATATATTTAGATTTTGTAATCATTTTTATAGTAATTAATACTATAATAAATAATAAAACATATAAAATTGAATGTAGTACTTTGTACAAAATTGTTGATTTGTTATATCTATATATATATTAATCACAGCTTATATTTAAATTAAAAATACAAACTGAGAATAAGATTCACTATATCTACACAAGAGGAACTTTCTTATAGAATTCTAAGCTCTCTTAAATAGCTAAACATACAAAAAATGATGTCTATAGCTGACTACCCTATCACTGTCTCGTACCGTACCACTGTTAAAAAAATAGAAATTCTGCCACATAAACAATCAATTTAAGATGCATAGTGAGTATCTATTGGCTCAAGAGGTTTTTTGCATATACAGTTCTATATTGGTCGACGAAACTAATACTTTATAGCAGGGCTATACAAAGCACGAGCCGTGGCTAATATTTTTGTTGCTCGCTACATGTTTTTAATCTACTACAATTACGTGAATTTTCTTTTTATCTACTGGACCGCGCTCGCATCTGATCTGGACAGTCCTGCTTTATAAGATACTCATATTATCTGTGCTATATGGTATTGAAGCTTCATCATATTGTGATAAATCAGAACATATTTAATAATTTTTATATTAATTAGCATTTAATATTAAATAAATAAAAAATGTTATTTTACTATGTATTTTTTTATGGAAATGTTGGTACTGTTTCTTGAATATATATCCGATTAAGACGCACGTCCTCAGTAAGTTTCGAATTGAGAAACATTAGCCTATACTATATATACATTTCATATAATCATTTCGTTATAGCGTTTCATCAGAAAAGTATTTTGATTGTAATTTTCAGGGTTTGAAATGCTATTACTATTTTCTAGCAATTCAAACCTTGATAATTTTACCTGTCATTTCAAATTATTCTTGATTTTTATAGCAAAACACGTTCAATAGAAATTTAACTGAAATCACAATCAAAACTCTCGTGTGAATCCAGGATAAGCTTCAATAATTTTAAGTCGGATTTAAAAAAAAGAAAGGTACTCTGCTCTATTATTTTTTTGAAACATCGAATAATACACTTTTTACGCTTTTGTGATTGAAAAGAGTAAACGTATTATATTTTTAAATTTATAGGCTTTATTTGTTTCAGTTAGCTTGAGCAATTTTCTTCAGATGTAATAAAAGAGTTCTAAAAGTTGGTGGTTTACTATTGTCTCTTCTTCTAATTATATTAATAATTATATTAAAAAAATCTGCTTAATGCGGTACAAATGTATTTTTAATTTTTTTTATGTCTGCACCTTTATACAATATTTAATTCTTTTTATAATTAAACACTATAAATAAAGCTAATTTTAAATTAAATTTTTTCTCTAAAATGACAAGCACATAAAATTATTTTCGAACGCCATCTATATGTGAAAATTTTCTTCAACTCTGGCAATACTAACAAAAACATGCTGTCTCTCATTTCCTGTAGAAATTGACGGCTCTGCACTTTCCTTTTGTCATCGTGTTCTCGACGAATTAGGTGCGTTTTTTTCTGTGAATAATAAATTTAATGTGTTAAAAGGCATAAAATTTGATTTATTTAATTAAAATTAAGTGTATTTTTGCAAATAATTGAAATAAACATCGGTTTTTGTTATGTATTTTAAATAATAGTAATTTTAGCTTATCGAAATAAATTTTAGAGAAAAATTTGCCCAACTCGTTTCTTCATTTTCCGACATTTTAAGACTTTCATAATTTATTTTATAAGCAGTGCGACCGGTGCCTCGTACAATTTATTGCAAAAATTTAATTTTAATTACTTGTTTTATAGATTTTTTGTAATCTGTTTTACGTGTTTGTAATTTGGAATTATATTTTATTTTAATCATTAGGAAAGTTGCGTCAAAATGCAGATATTCGTTAAGACCCTAACGGGCAAGACCATCACCCTTGAGGTTGAACCATCGGACACTATCGAAAATGTCAAAGCCAAGATTCAGGACAAAGAGGGAATTCCTCCAGATCAGCAACGTTTGATTTTTGCTGGTAAACAATTGGAAGATGGTCGCACATTGTCCGATTATAATATTCAAAAGGAATCAACACTTCACTTGGTGTTGCGCCTACGTGGTGGTGCCAAGAAACGCAAGAAGAAGAATTACTCTACCCCCAAAAAAATTAAGCACAAGAGGAAGAAGGTCAAGCTAGCCGTCCTCAAGTACTACAAGGTATAGCCATTATTGATGATTCTACTGCGATGCACATGTGCCAAATATGAGAATATAAACAACAAATTATTATGAAGTTATTAATTTGTTCTCAATTTGTTAATTGATCTGGAATTCTTGAGTCTTGTTTATCTTGTGCTTTGGATTTAAAAATAAGAAATATGGATAATACGACTCGAATTGTGTTGCAGTTTGTTTATATCTCATCCGTGGCCAAATGTTTTAATATATATGTTTTTGTGCTTATTAATATATTTTTTATTTTTTAAAGGTTGACGAAAATGGGAAAATTCATCGTTTACGTCGTGAATGCCCTG